CTTCCCAAGGCAGGTCGAAGATGGGAGATGCTTTACCATGTTATTCTCCACCTGCAGCTTTACAGTCGCCGACCATCCCCCAGTCCAGATCCCACGATCATCCAAGATTTTCCTAAGGGGGGCTAACACTTCCCCAAACCGATTTAGCCATACTATAATTTCTGTCGAGGGGATCGACTCATTCCTGACCAGGATTGTAACGAATTTGACAAGGGGTGCCTAGAAACCACTTTTGGGGTCAGGCCCTCCCACCTGGGGGTCCCCTTCCAAACATTCTCATATTTTTGCCAGAACAAGTCTAGGCACTCTGGCTTCACAAATGATACGTCATATTCCCTGGTCCCCACCGGGGCTATAAAAGCAAATATGTCTACTGCTTTGAAGCCCATATCCAGAATTCTGTCAACAACCTCCCTTCTATTTGGGGGGGGGGGGGCTTCCTCCTTCCCATTTTAGCTGGACAACGTTTCTTCTTTTGATGGTTGGTGGTGATCCCCCTGCCTGACTCTCCGGTGGTCTTGTTACCCCCTGTCTATTTTTTAAAGTCGCTGAATAGCTCAGGGCTCCCTTGGCAACCGTGGCTGAGACTGGGCCTGTAGCTGGGCTGAGACTTGGCCTGTAGCTGGGGCTGAGACTGGGACTGCAGCTGGGGCTGAGACTGGGCCTGCAGCTAGGGCTGAGACTGGGCCTGCAGCTGGAGCTGAGACTGGGCCTGCAGCTGGGGCTGAGACTGGGCCTGCAGCTGGGGCTGAGACTGGGCCTGCAGCTGGGGCTGAGACGGGGCCTGCAGCTGGGGCTGAGACGGGCTGCGACGGGGCCTGCAGCTGGGGCTGAGACGGGGCCAGCAGCTGGGGCTGAGACGGGGCCTGCAGCTGGGGCTGAGACGGGGCCTGCAGCTGGGGCTGAGACGGGGCCTGCAGCTGGGGCTGAGACGGGGCCTGCAGCTGGGGCTGAGACGGGGCCTGCAGCTGGGGCTGAGACGGGGCTGCAGCAGCTGAGACAGGGGCAGCTGGGGCTGAGACTGGGCCTGGAGCTGGGGCTGAGACTGGGCCTGGAGCTGGGGCTGAGACGGGGCCTGAGGCTGGGGATGGGGCTATGCTGGCTGAAGCAGACACTGCAGCAACCAAATTGGCCTCACACAAAGAACCGATTTGTCACAAATAACCAAACAAGTGTCCGACACATCACTTACAGTCCCCGCAGCCGGAGAGGCTTTCAACTGTGGCTGCACTGCCTTCCCCTCCTGGGATTTGCAACTGTTTTCCAGCTTGCTGGGAAGTTTTTCCCACTTTACAAAAAACAATTTCTCGGTCTTTTTTGGCTTAAGTGGCCTAGGGCACTTGTCTGCCTCATCACCAGTGTCATCAGATGAAAATGCGAACTGCCGTCCGTGCAGGGGGGACTCTAATGCAGTCACGAATTCCATGGCACCAACCTCCTCCTCCTGCTCCACCTGGGATCCCCAATCTAGCTGCTGTTGCTGAGGGGGGATGGGTTCCGACTCACCTTCCACTTTCAAACTTTCTCCAGCACGCTGAGAAGTAACTGTGCTACCTTCTCCAACCTCACCTGGGGGGTCTGACAGGTCCCCGGATGACACCGCCTCTCCGATCTGGCCCCTGGCAGCCGCTAACGATCTGTCACGGGCCTGCCTGAAACGCTCCTCGTTCATGTATTTCTCCTGCATGAACCCGCTGGTTGCTTTCAGTGTCTCCACTAGATCACATTGCTGGCGCACTGCCTGCTCCATACGCACAAGCTCAGGCTTCATAGCCTGCCGCTTTGTGCTCCACACACGATCGTACGATGACTTGAACTTCATTTCTCATTCTGACCAGCTTGTCTTCCTCCTTCCCGATCCTTGCCACATGGGCCGCCACACAGCCCCGATAAGCCGCATATGATTCCCCTTCTTTAGGGCCTTTTCCCAGGTCCTCAATAGCTGGCATGTCAGGTCCGGTACTAGGAGCCCCAGGGGTCCCTCCTCTTCCCGGATCATGGCCGGGCTCCGCCATCCTCTCCTGGGTAGTGCCAGAAATGTAGTCCCTGGTTTCATTTGAGGCCTAGCAGGACCTCACACAGCACACCCCACACACTGTCTGAGCAGCACCACGTCCACTTCCTTCTAACGACACTCAGCTGCAGGATATCTGGAGGAATCCTAGAACGGTATGCCAATTGCTAGACTGCTCCCCAACCCTTAGAGTGCACCAGATTGTATGTAAGATTCATATCTGCCTGTGTGTGGTCAGCCAGCTGGATTGGAGTGGAGTCTCCCTCTAGTGGTGGCCAGAGGTAGTGCGGGCTGTGAAAGGGCATCATGGCCAGTCAGTATTGTTCAAAGTATTCCCTCTTTACTCCAAGACTAGGGCCACGCCCTGGTTAGTTGCCATGATTGTGTGAGTGTACACTAAGTACATCTGCTATCCATCTACAGAGAAAACCCGCATAGATCACATCACCACACCTATGAGGATGGAGGAGGACCGGAGTCACATGACTGAGAGGATACTAAACCTCACCCTGGAGATCATCTACCTGCTGACCGGAGAGGTGAGGAGAATTCTGGGAGGTCACATGACATCACTCTCATCTCTATTAATAAAAACACAGACCTGACCAGAGAGGTGAGGAGGATTCTGGGAGGTCACATGACATCACTCTCATCTCTATTAATAAAACACAGACCTGACCAGAGAGGTGAGGAGGATTCTGAGAGGTCACATGACATCACATAGACCTGACCGGAGAGGTGAGGAGGATTCTGGGAGGACACATGACATCACACAGACCTGACCGGAGAGGTGAGGAGGATTCTGGGAGGTCACATGACATCACTCTGGTCTAGTCTGGCCAATAGACCATGTTCTTCTTGTAGACATGTAGATGATGTCAGATGATTGATATCGGTTTCTCTTTCTCCTGATCTGTAGGATTATGTTGTAGTGAAGAAGTCTAGTGGGAAGCCAATCTCAGGAGGATGGAGCAGGACCCAGAGCCCCACCATGGTGCCTCCCCCTCATTCTCCGATACCTGAGAGGAACAAAGAGCAGAAGATCCTGGAACTGACCACCATGATGGTCCATCTGCTGACAGGAGAGGTGAGCGGTGCCGGGAATTCTGGGACATTCTCCAGTAACAGACAAGGGATGTGTCTGGATGGTGACTGAAGGGAAATGTATGTCTTTTAGGTCTGTCATTTTGTTTTTCCCACTCCATTTTATATTCCATGTTGATTAATTGTTTTGTATTATAACCAGAATGAGTTAATGAAAATATGCTATGTCAGTTATGTATTACAGAACTATACTCACAAAATTCTTCTATCTTTTATCTTAGCTTAGCCTTGGTAGAGACGGTGAAAGTATTCAATTATTTCTTTGTATTAACAAGCACCTGTTTCTGTTATGATACAATTAAATGTCAAATATTTCTGTTCCATGAGAAAATAATTGTTTGTTACTTATAACTAATTACAAATGCCTGAGAAAGATCATGTTCACAGCCTTGAAAAGTATCTAGCGAGATTCTATTGTATGTAGCAGATAAGTTTTTATGTAATATTATAGACATTCCTTAAATTTTGCTTCTCATCATTATTCAGGATTGACGTAAATGCTTGTATTCCCACTTGCATGCTATATTGTACTATATAAGAGAGCTTTCGTTGTGGAATAAATTAGAAGTTTTTGGTTACTTATAAGACGGTCTCATGTGTGATTACTTGTAACCAATGCTTCTCCAGGCCTGAGGAGACAGAACGAGTGACAGAGAACTTAGACCAGGGGTCTAAAGGTCAATAGAACCAACAGTGACTGTATCATTGTGTTTGTCAGGTTCCTATAAGGTGTCAGGGTGTCACTGTCTATTTCTCCATGGAGGAGTGGGAGTATTTAGAAGGACACAAGGACCTCTACAAGGACGTCATGATGGACAATCAGCCGCCCCTCACATCACCGGGTAAGAGGAGACTTTATTGGAAAGGAGAGAGCAGTACGGAGGGTCCACCTAGATCCCCCATCATCTGATAAACACATAGAAACAATGGATTCAGTCAGTGTTTGTGTTTCCTACAGATGGATCCAGTCATGGGAACCCACCAGAGAGATGTCCCCGTCCTCTGTATTCCCAGGATTCCACACAGGAAGGTCACACCATCCCTCACCATCATCAGTTAGGTGAGGAACAATCATTAATAGTTGTGATTTATATGAAAGCATGTTATAATGAATTTCCTATTATATATCCAGAGTGGAATCCTGGGGGATTACAATATTGTTGTTAAAGAAGAGGACAATGAGGATGAGGAGTATGGAGTGATGGAGGAGTTTTCAGAAGGATGCAAGGATATGATGGAGCCACCTAATACCAGGAACCTACCAGAGAGATCTCCCCGTCCTCTGTATTCCTGGGATTCCACACAGGAAGGTCACACCATCCCTCACCATCAGGTAGATGTGTACAAATCACAACTATCAGTGATTGTTCCTCAAGCTTTCTTGTTATAATGTACATTTTATTATATATGTAGAGTGAAAACCTCAGAGATTATAATATTGTTGTTAAAGAAGAGGATGAGTATGGAGGTATGATCCTTTCTAAGAGACACAAGGACCTCTACAAGGATGTCATGATGGACAATCAGCCGCCCCTCACATCACCGGGTAAGAGGAGACTTTATTGGAAAGAGCACTATATACTCCATGTTGTACATTACATACTCCTGATTTCTGCTCCCCCCACTGCTATATATACACATAATGGGGTTTATTTACTAAAGCTGGAGAGTCCAAAATCAGACTCACTTCTGCATAGAAACCAATCAGCTTCCAGGTTTCATTGCCAAAGCTTCATTGAACAAGCTGAGGTTAGAAGCTGATTGGTTTCTATGCAGAAGGGAGTCTGATTTTGGACTCTCCAGCTTTAGTAAATAAACCCCAATAAGTCTTCTCCTCTGTTCCCCCCATTTCCTACCAGCTGGACATTTTATATCAGATGATGTGATTGAAGCACAGACTGTTACATGGTGATAATAATGTGATCACATCCTCCAACCGGAAAGTGATAATGGGGGAGGAGCCAATACCCCAATGATGGTGGTCTTCAGGATGGTGGAGGAGCCAATAGCCAAATGATGGTGGTCTTCAGGGTGAGTCCAGTCTTCCTCTTGGTCCCCTCCCCACATCCTCACTCTCTGACCTCTGGTGGGGCTCCTGTCTAGTAATCCTCTTTGTCTTTGTATTTTAGTCCATGGCCGGGAGATGAGGAAAACCTCCGAGGATTGTCTCACTTTGTCTCCAGACTGGAAAGTAGAAGATGAGGACATCACACAGTATAGTCCAGGAGAAAACCCAGCTCCCTCCAATGTCCATCCGGCACCACCTGAGGACCCTCAGACTGTGCGGGACCGGGCCAGCCTTCCAACAGGGAAGAGGTTCTCCTGTACTGAGTGCGGGAAGGGTTTCCGTTATAAATCCGGTCTTATTCTGCATAAAAGATCTCACACAGGAGAGAAACCGTATTCCTGTCCTGAGTGTGGGAAATGTTTCCGTTTTAAATCTCATCTTAAAGTGCATAAAAGAACTCAAGCAGGTGAGAAGCCACATTCCTGGCCCGAGTGCGGGAAATGTTTTTCAGTGAAGTCCAATCTTTACAAACATCAGAGATTGCACACGGGAGAAGCTGTATTCCTGTCCTGAGTGCGGGAAATGTTTTTTTCAGATAAGTTTGATTTTTATTCTCATCAGAGGACTAACACAGGTGAGAGACCATATTCCTGTGCTATACAAATAATATGCTTAGTGATAATAATAAATAATATTCTTATTATATGGTGGGATATTGTCACTTTGGAAAAATATCTTACAGATGACATTATCCCTAGAAGGCTGAGATGGGATTTAGGCCCTAATGATGGGTTGATGGATGAGGATTCCAATTTGGAATGGAAGAAGTTTTTCCACACTTGTGAAAGACAATTAGTGGGTATGCTACTGGATAGGAAAAGGAGAAAGTTAATCACAGTAGAATCAAGGCTATTAGAATTACAGAGTAAAATAGAAGTATTCAAAGGGAAAAAGGAATTTGATGATGCAAATAAAAAATTGCAGGATCAACTAAATAAAAAGGATATGGAAATAAAAAAGAAAAAAACATAGAAAATATATGAGAGATATGGGAGATTACCAGACCAATAACATTTACAAATGGCAGAGTGTCATTGCTAATCAATGCCAATCTAATAATACCACACCTAATAATTCTCCTTTAAAAGGGAGTATACAGTCTACTGGTGCACTTACAAAAAAAGTGGTAAGCAAGAAGAAAGAGAATGCTAGACATATACAAACAACCCAACAAAAATCTTCATGGAGAAGGGATGAGGACTGTTATGGTAGTCCGTTTAAAAATAATTACAATGTTCCAGTGTATAATAGTTTCCAGCCTCTAGAAGGGTGGCATAATCCTAGGGGCTTCAATGGAAGCCCTAGAGGATACAGGAACAATAATAATTTTTTTCAGAGGAATTTCAGGGGAAGACCACCAGGACCCCCACCGAGAAACCCATATTATCAACAAGGATGGGGTCGAGGGATGTTGAGGGACCCACCTTATTATTACCAAAATCAATACAGGGGAGAACAGGAAAGGCCACCCCAACCAAGAGGGGAAGAGCAAGGAAATCCGGGAGAAAACAAGGTAACTCAAGGATGGAACCAAATACAGACAACAAGAGAAAAAGGAAAGATGCGTAGGGGAAGGTATTTATAACCTCAGCTCCATCCCTTTAACATATAACCAGACTCAGGTTTTAGACAAAGGATTAAAATTTGCCCCTAAAAGAAGTTTGAACAAGTTTGAGACGTACATTAATTTGAATAGATATATTAGGAAATTGAACATCAAAAAATATTTTTTATCGTTACCTGGACAAGGATCTTCTGCTGTTAGATCTAGTCCAGATATTGTAAATCAATATGTACATAGCGGATTGAGGAACAATTCGGTTTTTAACCCAATCAATAATAAAAATCATTTTGTTGAAGTTTTTAAACAGATGGTAACTGAAGAATTAAGAGATATAGAAATCAAGAAAGTTAAAGAGAGTATCGAATTTCAGGAGGGTTTAAATTCTTAAAGAAGGCAAATAATGTGGTGATAGACCAGCCGATAAGGGTGGAGGGGTGGTGATTCTGGATAGATCGGCTTATGAACACGTTATGGAAAATATTCTAAATGATTCAGACACATATATGAAAATTAAGAGTAACCCAGTGACTAAATACAAAAAATTACTCCAAGTATTAGTTAACACAGCGCAAAAGGAAGGAATTTTGAATGAAAAAGAAGCAAGATATTTAATTCCTTCCCATTGTAAAATGCCTATAATATATATTATCTACCTAAGATACACAAAAGTTTAATTAATCCCCCTGGAAGACCGATTATAAACGGTATTGACTCCATACATGCGAGAACTGGGGAGTATATTGATTTCTATTTGCAGCCCATAGTCAAAATAATGCCATCGTATTTGAAGGATGGACAGGATGTTATAGATTTGGTGGAGTATAGGAAAGTCTCTCTGATAACACCATTCTGGTTACAATAGATGTTAATTCTTTGTATACCAGTATCAAGCATGAAGATGGTATTAAAGCAGTTAAATGGGGGTTAAGGAATTTTACTGACCTATGTAGGAAACAAAGGAATTTTATTGTGTCTCTACTAGAGTTTTGCATGGGAAAAAAACTACTTTTGGTATGGTGGACAATTTTATGTGCAGAAGAAAGGGGTAGCAATGGGCGCAAAATTTGCGCCCAGTCTAGCAAATGTATTTCTAAGTAGATGGGAGGAGAAGGTTATTTTTAATAGAAAATGGGAGGGATTAATTATGTGGAAAAGGTATATCGATGATATTCTTGTAATTTGGGATGGACCAATGGAATCTCTAAAGACTTTTATCTCTGTTCTGGAAAAAAAATGAGCATGGTTTAGGTTTTACCTTTAGTATGGATAGGTGCTCTGTAAACTTTCTAGATCTTAATATTTTTATTGAGGATAAAGTTATTTTTACTAAAACTTATTTTAAAAAAACAGACAGGAACGGATATATACCTACCAATAGCTGTCACCATCCTTCCTGGATCAATGGGATACCCAAAGGACAGTTTCGAAGAATTTTTAGAAACTGTACTAGATTGAAGGAATATGTTGAGCAAACAGATATCATTAAAAAAAGATTCATTGAGAAGGGGTATGACCCCGAGGTACTAGAAAGGATTAGGTATGAAGTGAGCAAAAGCTATCTAGGAGATAAGAAGGTTGTAAAAGTTCCATCTAAAAAGAATCCTGGTAATGGGAAAAAGATAGAATATGCGTTTATTTCTGGGTTATAATAACCAATATAAAGACATTGAAAAAATTGTTTTTAAACATTGGTCAATATTAAGTAAAGATACTATTTTAGGTCCATTAATCCCAAAAAAGCCCTCGTTCATTTATAGAAGGACTAAGAATTTGAGAGATGTTATAGTTAAAAGTGTTATCTCTCCTCCAAAGAAAAAGAAGGAACATATGTTTGATTTTAAGGGTTTTTACCCCTGTAGAAAATGTAGAATATGCACAATAACGAATACGAAAATGAGAGTGATTTCTAATTTTACATCTAACAAAACTGGAATGATATATAATATGAAGAATTTTATCACTTGCACCACCCCCTTTGTAACATATTTACTGGAATGCCCGTGTAAGTTACAGTACGTGGGGAGGACCTCAAGACCCTTACAAAAAAGACTAAGTGAACATGTTACAAATATTTTAAAAGGGAAAAAAGACCATTGTCTATCGAGGCACTTCAGAGACCATCATAACTGTGACCCTAGTGGTTAAAATTCTGTGGAATCGATAGAATAGAGGCGCATTGGAGGGGGGGTGATAAAATCAAAACCATATCCAAGAATGAAACCTACTGGATTTATGAATTGAGAACAATGAAACCAGGAGGTTTAAATGTAGATTTAGATTTAAATTGCTTTGTTTCCAATTTTTAACTTAAAAGTTGTAGTTTTATGCTGCAAACAAAAGTTTATTATAATATAAAAGATGGATATATGCAGAATATTATGGGTAGATCCATTAAGAATGGATATAGGAGAAAGTTTTATAAAATAATATAAATGTTTAATTTTAGAATATGGCTAATTTAAATATATTTTAAATAATTTTATGTATTTATGATAAACCTTTTCATACTATTTATGATTGAGGATGTTATATCCTGAATCATATATATGTTAATGATACAGTATAATTATATATGTGAGATAAATAATATCAATAGACTATTGTGGACCCCATATGAGGGTACTAGGATATATTATGTTAAGGGATTATTTAATAGTTTTATTTATTTTAAGGAGTACATATTGAATAGGAGAGGGCAATATATGAGAAATATATAGAGTGTGGCTCTCATTTTTAGGGTATTGATGTTCAATTTATATTATTAAGGGTTGGTGGTGTTCTATTTATATGTGTATATATTATATGAAATATGTTGGGGTTAGCTCCACACATATTTATTTTGGAGTATATAATAGATGTATTTTAATAATTTTAATTTTAATTATATCAAGATAATTCGGCTACCTTTATAGATATGAAGTGTTATAAGTAGTAATTGCACATCATTTATATATCATGTAGGTATTTTATTGTTGTATGATCATATTGGAGGGTTGTAGCTTATATAAGTTTATATTCATGGTGGGCTGAGATCCGCGGTTTTTGTTCATTGCTATTCCTGAAGACGGATTCCGTGCCGGCATTATTTGTTATTTATGTTAGTATATGATGTAGCTTTAAGTCTCCGTCAAAGGTAGAGCGGTGCCCTTTCTAAAAATGGAGATCGCGGCTTCACCATGATGAGAGGAGGAGTATAAAGAAGCGTCCTTGTCTGACAACCACACCCTTTATGATTACGTCCAATGACGAAACGCGTCAGTGGGGAGTGACGTCAGACGCAAACGAGAAACCGGAAGTGGAGCGGCGGCCATTTTAGAGAGTGGAAGTAAGACTGTTTGCAGCGGTTTGGACTCTCCTGGACGTACGGCATGCAGGTTTTCACACTTTTAAAACATGCGATGAGAAAGATTTTATATTGTAAGCAGCACCAATAAAATTTGTGATTCGAATGTGTGGCGGTATTACACTATATATCTTTATGTGTGTATATATATATCGTTATCGGGATGGCGGTTATGATGAAATTGGTCTGAGGAAATAGTGTGGATGGATCCACATTGAATTATGAGGAGGTGAAAGTGAGGATACTGGCAGAATAATACTCGTTTACTCGTCCCATCATACAGCCTACTTGGGGATGTTTATCTAAAGCCTTAAATGATAAACACATTGGTAAGGGTATTCACTCCTTACTGCAGTAGACGTGATTTATGTGTGTGTTATAAACACTTTAAAGAGTGATTCACCTACACAGCTTTTCACTATACATAGTGTATTGGCACACGTTTGCTGTTTACACGTTTTTGTTTCACTTTTGGTGAATTATCACTGGTTGAGTTAAATGATATTAATATATTAAGGATAATGCACTATGTGGTTTCTATTTTTGTTTTTTTGAGGTAAATCAAGCTTACACAAAACTTTGAAGAATTTATCACTATTCTTGGACAATTTTTTTGGACTTAATTTTTGTTTGAAGGGGACTTTGATTTTATAAATTTTTGGATTTTTGGATACAGGACTTTATGTTTGTTATTATTTGGGGAATAAGAATATTATTTATTATTATCACTAAGCATATTATTTGTATATTGTGTACACCTCTAAGGGTAGGGGTGAAGTGTGCTGACACGGGATATTTGGGTAGAGTGATTTATTAATAATATTCATATTCCTGTGCTGAGTGCGGGAAATGTTTTTCAGGGAAGTCCAATCTTTATACTCATCAGAGGACTCACACAGGTGAGAAGCCGTATTCCTGTGCTGAATGTGGGAAATATTTTTCACTGAAATCACAACTTGCCACACATCAAAGGTCTCACACAGGGGAAAAGCCATATTCCTGTGCTGAGTGCAGGAAACGTTTTGGACATAAATCAGATATTATCAAACGTCAGATGTCTCACATGGGGGAAAAATTATATTCATGTCCTGAGTGCGGGAAATGTTTTTCACAGAAGTGCCATCTTTACAGACATCAGAGATGTCACACGGGAGAAGCCGTATTCCTGTTCTGAGTGCGGGAAATGTTTTTCAGTGAAGTCCAGTCTTTGCAGATATCAGAGATCTCACACAGGACAAAAGCCGTATTTCTGTCCTGAGTGTGGGAAATGTTTTTCACAGAAGCCCCATCTTTACAGACATCAGAGATCTCACACGGGGAAGAAGCCGTATTCCTGTCCTGAGTGCGGGAAATGTTTTTCAGATAAGTCCAGTCTTTGCAGACATCAGAGATCTCACACAGAATAGAAGCCGTATTCCTGTCCTGAGTGCGGGAAATGTTTTTCAACTAAGCCCAATCTTTCTGAACATCAGAGATCTCACATGTTCGAGAGGCCATATTTCTGTCCTGAGTGTGGGAAATGTTTTTCAAGGAAGTCCTATCTTTACAGACATTGGAGATCTCACACGGGGGGGAGAAGCCACGTTCCTGTCCTGAGTGAGGGAAATGTTCCTCACTGAAGTCCTGCCTTCCTGCTCAGCAGGGGTCCCACACAATCCTCAAGGTGTATTAGAGTCTTGAGTGCGGGAAATGTCTTCTATATGAATATTTCTGGACATCCCAGCTCTCGTGGGGGGAAAAAAAAAACCCGACAAACAAAGGAGCGCTCCCAACCCCGTGGAAGTCAATAGAGTCACAATCCCAGGAAGAGCTGAAATTCACTTTAATGTTGTGTTAGAAAGCATGACATGTAGGAGTGCCCAGACTGACATGTCACCAAGCCAGCGGGGAGGAGGAACACATTCCAAGAAGCTGGAGGAGGACACATGATCCTGGACCCAACAGTAGGTTGCTCAGCCCAGGAGCCTCAGGACAGTGGGAAGGGTGTGTGGATGTGCTGTTCCCTTCATATTTGTTATTTAACTGTGCATTGTATCACCAATTCTTATTTCACCACGTTTGTTTCTATGTCTTGATCTGTTGCTGCCATCTGCTGGCCAGAATTTGCATGCTGCATGCTCCTGTTATAGCTAGTAAGTTTTTTCTATGCTGGGCGTGGTTTTAGGCAAGCCTTGGTTCTGGTCACTTCCTGCAGCCATTTTTATGTGCTTATAGCTGTGTGACAGGACATTCAATACCCTGGGCTTGTGAAGGCATCAGTTTTTGACCAGCAGTTAGCCTCAGGAAAGATATCACAGGACACAGCATCAATACCTCTACTACATTACAGTATTGTATCACTGTTTGTCGCTGTATTTGGACCAAATAAACCCACGCTGATTTCATTCCCGTGTATACTTTTGGATCCATCTAACCTGAGCATCTGCTGGTCTGGTCTGCTCCACTGCTTGGATACGAAGGTAGGAAGTTACACAGCCATTATCAGTTATACCTTCATTCGCCTTCATGTGGGGACAGAACAGTGGGTGGCAGCCGCTGGAATCACTAAGATGGCGTGTCCTCCGGAAGTCACATGTCCCAGATCTGGTGGTCTCTGGTGAGAGATCACCTGAACAAGGGCTGCTGAGGGCAAACTGGAAGCCTAGGGGAGCATCATAACCATGCCAAACCAAAGGAGAGAAGCCTTGACCCTTCCCTTCCTCATGATCTGAGGAAGGGGCCAGTCCTTGAAACATGTTCTCATGATGACCGGCTTTTCTCCATTGGTATGACATGGCTAGAGTGCTCTGGATTGTCATGTCATACACCTGGTGAGAGACCTCCCAAACAAGGGCTGGTGAGGGCAAACTGGAAGCCTAGGGGAGCACTCAAACCATGTCAAACCAAGAGAGAAGCCGGTCATCATGAGAACATGTTTTAGGGACTTGCCCCTTTCTCAGATCATGAGGAAGGGTCAAGGCTTCTCTCCTTTGGTGTGACATGGTTATGGTGCTCCCCTAGGCTTCCAGTTTGCCCTCACCAACCCTTGTTCGGGCGATCTCTCACCAGAGACCACAAGATCTGGGACATGTGACTTCCGGAGGACATGCCCTCTTAGTGATTCCAGTAACGGCCATGTCATACACCTGCTAAGTGACCACCCGAACAAGGGCTGGTGAAGGCAAACTGGAAGCCTAGGGGAGCACCATAACCATGTCATACCAAAGGATAGAAGCCTTGACCCTTCCTCATGATCTGAGGAAGGGGCAAGTCCCTGAAACATGTTCTCATGATGACCAGCTTCCCTCCATTGGTTTGACATGTCTTGAGTGCTCCCCTAGGCTTCCAGTTTGCCTTCCCCAGCCCTTGTTCCGGTGGTCTCTCACCAGGTGTATGACATGACAATCCAAAGCACTCAAGCCATGTCATACCAATGTCCCCTCCCCCCATTGTCTATGTCAGGATCTTTCCTACCACACTTTGTTATAACAATGGAACACGTTGTATATTGTATGTCAATCAATAATGGCTCCGCCTCCACATTCCAGACAAGGGATCTTCCCGACCAATCGGATTTCTGCCTTTACTAGCTCCTGATTCTATGACTGCAATCTTGTCCAAAGTAAAATTCTAATAAAATATGTAATGAATGAACAATAAATAGTGAGTGTCAGTGCGATGACGGCAAAATTGGGTATCCAAAGATGTCCCTTGCATTGCTGACCAATGGGAGAAGGATCCCCTTATATCATTGGTCAGTGTGGTGGTCCCTTACATTGATGACCGATGGGAGAAGGACCCCCTTATATCAGTGGTCAGTGTAGTGTAGTGGTCCCTTACATTGGTGACCGATGGGAGAAGGACCCCCTTATATCAGTGGTCAGTGTAGTGGTCCCTTACATTGGTGACCGATGGGAGAAGGACTCCCTATATCAGTGGTCAGTGTAGTGGTCTCTTACATTGATGACCGATAGGAGAAGGACCCCTTATTTCATTGGTCAGTGTGGTGGTCCCTTACATTGGTGACCGATGAGAGAAGGACCCTCTTATATCAATGGTCAGTGTAGTGCACTCTGGGCTGTATATGAAATACTCCTGAACACTGCACTTTGCATCCTGGGTCCTATATGGCATCCACTTGACCACTGCAGTCTGGGCCAATATTACCTCTAAAGGCTTTTGAAGCGTCACCTATGAGAAACATTTAGATGTGTCATCGTTACACCGAGACACAGAACATTTTTTTTTTTTGCACAGTTTTGAACCTACTATCTAAATAAAGGTATTTTATAAGGTGATAAATAAACAACAGTTATTTTTTATTTTTGGCACAGGGCCAGACACCCTGCGGCAGCTCTCATTTGGGGCGTTACACCGATGTTTTTATACCAATTATCAAGCTGGGTTGTATTATTTTATTACCCACCGACAACAGCTGAAATTGCAGTGACCTCCTCTTTATTGTAGGGGAGTATTATATATAACAGCGCATGTAGTGCCCCTCTAGTTAGCTAGGGGGAGCTAGACAGGTTTTCAGCTAAAGGCTGGATGGCAGCCTGGTGTGAGTCAGCATGGGATGAGTCAACCAGGTTCTCTTTATGCCAGGGCTGAGGGCTCTGCAGGTCAGTTCCTGCTCTAGAAACTTGAGACGTTTCCAAAAGGCAGTGGGTGGGGGTGAGGAGTCTGATCTGCATTCTTATGGGATCTTGACCAATCCCCAAGTAAGTGGCTTGGCATGGGGCCAGAATAGTCTTTGAATATGAGAGAACCTGAACAGCAGGGAGTAGTGTCGGGTGGGGGATGAAGTGGATACTGGAGCCTGGGAGGGGGCCCAGGGAAGGGCCTACCTGCAGGCAGGTACTGGGAAGGAGGATCTTTCAGCCTCAACCATCTCCTGAGAGAGGACAGCCTGGGAAGCAGGGAATGAGCCAGCCCAGCGTCAGACCTTAAGGCAGCCATCAAGATCACGGGAGAGGACTGAGTAAGTGATCCTTCACCCCCTGGGCCAGATAAGGGGGGGACGGTGAAAAACTGGCTAGCCCCCATCTGGGACTGTTGATTTACAGTGGGTCCCTTTTACCATTCCAGGGTTCATATCCTTTAGACATTTCATCATTCCAGGGTTTTATCCCTCAGATCTTTCATCGTAGGGTTTATCCCTCAGACCTTTCACAATTTCAGGGTTTGTAGCCCTCAGACCTTTCATTATTCCAGGGATTCCCTCAGGCAGCTGGGTGGACAGAAGAATTCATCTGGGGTCTGGGGTGGTGCACCAGAAGGGCTGGAGAGTTCTTCAAGAAGAGAGTTTGTCTATGGACCTGTACATGGTTGCTAAGGAGAGATATTTCGCAGTTCCCTGGGCATCTCATACACTACTCAACCCCATCCTAGTTCAATACCCCTTAGTGGAATCACAAGAACAAGCTCGAGGACTGTCTCTGGAATGCAAGTGTGGAGAAAAATGTGAGTTGCCTGGTTGTGCAGATCCATAGGGGGACCCAGGACTTGGCGAATCCTAAGGGGGTAGTGCTACACGTATATAAAAAGAATTTATTTTCGCCATTTTGTAGTTTACAGACAATATGTGGAAGGCATCTACACCTGAGGATGTGAAGATAATATATACGAAACGCATTGAGTTATACGATGTATATCTCCCTTTTTTTATCGGACGTGTTCTTTGAAATATATATGAACGATTATTTTAAGAATTGTATACTTTATGTTGATGCTTGTCAGATATGAGAACCAATTTAGTATTTTGAAGCCTCTGATGTATGGAAACGGCTCAGAAAAATGAGAGGAAGACTCTGAAAACCCATCAGATCTCAATGGGGAGGAATCTCCTGCTGGATCTCTATACTGACATGGACGGGGGATGGGTGAGAAACGTAAGGACACCCCATCGTTTGATGGAAATGAAAATGATCGACCTACAGAGGACTGAATTCAAAAACACCCCAAAAATCAAAGTGAAGAAATGATGCAGCAGGCGAGTCCATGTTGGTGAAATGTCATTGCAGCAACTCAGAATGGTCCTCAGTAGTCTGTGTGGCCCCCACATGCTTGTATGCATGCCTGACAACGTCGGGGGAGGCTCCTAATGAGACCACGGATGGTATCCTGGGGGATTTCCTCCCAGATCTGGACAAGCATCTCTGAGCTCCTGGACAGTCTGAGGTGCAACCTGGAGGCGTCAGATGGACCAAAATATGACATCCCAGAGGGGTTCTATTGGATTTAGGTCAGGCGAGCGTGGGGCCATTCAATGGTATCAGTTCCTTCATTCTTCAGGAACTGCCTGCATACTCTCACCACATGAGGGAGGTCGGGAATTGTCGTGTACCAGGAGGAACCCAGGACCCACTGCACCAGGAGGAACCCAGGACCCACCACACCAGGAGGAACCCAGGACCCACCACACCAA